GTTTCAGAGAGTTCTGTCCATGGTGATCTGGCTCCAAGGCAAGGTGGAAAGGCCTGGGGGAGAAAAACTGCTCACCCCATGGTAGCCAGGAAGTGGATCGCGGGACAGTGCCAGAGAGGAAGGGCCAGGGATCAGGTATGAAACTATGAAACTGTCTCATTCATATTTATTTCTCAATTAAAAAAAATTTAAAAAAAGAAAATCTTTAAAAACAAAGAGAGAAATTGCCTTTTTCTGTTAACTTGGAAGAAGGATCAGTATTTAGTGGGTATTTATAGGTGTATTTATTTGAATACATGTAAATTCTAGTCTCAAGCTCTCTAAGAGTGCTCCCTTTTCTTCCATGGACGTATTGGGATTGAACCCCAGGACTTTGCTTTGAGGTCCATCTCCAGCCCTTTCTGTTTTGAGACAAAGTCTCACTGAGTTGTCCAGGCTGGCCTCGAACATGGGATCTTCCTGTCTCACCCTCCCCAGGGTTTGGGAGTAGAGGCATGTACCACATCTGCACTCCTCACTCTTCACAAGACGTTCAGCTCACCCTCTGGACCTCGTGGTTACCATGAATATAGCAAGCCTACTTCCCATGGCTAATTCTTCATTCTATACACTTAAACCATGAACAAAACGCTCTAAGTCCTGCTAAGATACAGATCTTTTTGTTTTCTGATGTATCCCATATGCCTAGAACTGGGCCTGGCACCTGTGGGCCCTTAAAAAATTTGCTTAAAAAATTAACCAACTATCTCTTAGACCACACTAAAGCATGACTGCTGGTCCCTTATAAAGCAGAAACTGAAAATGAACTAAAGAACCCATTTTGGCCTTCTATATTTAATTATATATAAGTATACAAGGTAATTTTATCAGTATTCACTTTAAATGAGTAAGTCAAAAATGAATGCGTCTTCCCTTGTGGACTAAAAGTACATCTTACTTACAAACCAGAATATTTGCTAGAGAAGAGTAAGTGTGACAAGTCTGGTGAGCTGAGTCCTGCCTTGCGGACCACAGTGCTATTCATCCTTCAGGTCACAGGTTGAATGCCACTTTCTCTGCCAGAGCTCACCTGCTCCCATATCCAGGACAGGGTTCCATGCCTCCAAGGAACACTCAGCTTTTCCCATGAAAGGACATATAGGATCTGTTAGAAGTGTTTGTTTAATCAACCATTTCCTTCATTAAGCTGTAAAGCTATGTGGGGACAGGGCTAGCAACCACAGGCATCCATTTGATAGAGGCCATTATTGTTTCCTCAAGGCCTTGGTTTACAGTGGCACCCAGTAGGCACTCAAATGTTTCATGAATGCCAAATCTCTGTAAGGAACTAGAAACAAAGCACAACTGTATTTGAAGCAGTTGGTGAGAAACAATCTCCAACACATGGCCACTCACTTTCCAAAGTGTGGTCACATGGGATCAAGATACAAACATCTACTCTTATAAGCTTTCCTCTAAATTACATCAGATTGGGCGTGTCTTGAACCTCCGTCAAGTAATACTGCTAGACCAGCTATCAGACTTGTTTCTAAAGTGGGCTTTCCGCAAGTGGTAAGGAGCAGCTCTAAGAATCAATCACTTTTATCGATTGTTCTTTTATTGAGAGATAGTGTTCAGCATGGACTCTCTTCTCCAAAAGAATATTCAACAGGCTATCCTTATCAGTTGCTTTGATTCAAACAATCAGTTTATTTTAACTTTATGTATGAATAGAATGGCCTTCTCTTGTGTTAACTGTTTGGCAATCTTAAAAGTGAAACTTGTGGGTTCCCTGTCCCTGTTCCAAGTAACTGATGCATGCTGTGTACTTTATTCTACTCTCCACTTCATTGTTTACTACTCTTATTTCCCATTCTCATCTTCTTCATTTTTAAATCAGTTCACATACTTATAAGCCATCATGAATCATTAAATGATTTATAAACACACATTTTCTTCTATTTTGGCGCTTTTCATAAATTTGAACACTGTTCTCTCCCAGGGTCTACAATAGAAGACACACATTCAAAGTTCAGTCATTTTACACTCCTGCTTTTTTTTGTACTAACAGGGATAGAACTCAGGACTTTGCACTTGCCAGGCAGGTGCTTATGCTGTTGAGCTATATCCCCGGTCCCTGTCCCTACTTTAAGTGGGACTAAAAAATAGCACTTGCTTCATAGGCTTACATATGAATTAATATAGAATAAGCACACTGAACTACAACTATACCTACCAGTACCAACTGCTGTACAGGTGGTATCTATTATCCTTTTTATTACTATTCAATAATTTAATGATTAAAGTAACTATAACAAGGAATGCCGGAACTCCTACTTTGACTCTGATCTAACAACTTGCACTATGGCTTATGTTATTTCTAGGCTGTCATATGCCTTGTTAAAATAACAGGCATGTAACATTTTCTATTGGCTAAGCATATAATACCTTTGTCTATATAAATAAAATAGTTAAGCATCACAAATGATGTTAATACTGACCTAAGGCAGGAATGTCTTGGAAATAAATTTGATGGTAAAGGACAAACGAAATAAAATGACTCAAAATAAAAAATCTAAAGGCAGGTATGGTGGTGCACACCTGTAATCCCAGCACTCAGAAGTCTGAGGCAGGAAGAACAAATAGTTTAAGTCCAGCCTGGATTACATAGTGAGTTCAAGGCCACCCTGAACTGCACAGCAAAACTATGTAGAGAAAAAACAAAACAAAAAAACAAAACCCCACCAACCTCAACCTACATATCTAGTTAAGTTAATCATATACTTTTCAAAAATGACTTCAAATGATTTGAGTTTTTATCATTTAAAACTATTCTAAAATTCCACTAAAATAAAACCTCCGTAATATTCAAAAGTAACAAACACAGAGATCTAGAACAAAA